CTCATTGATGATTTGAAATCTCTTTCCTGTCTAAGGAAGTTTTACTTTTGGGAAAAGGCAGAAGTTGCAGGGCGCCAAATCTGGGCTGTATGGTGGCTGAGTCACCTGGGTGATCTGACGTTTGGCCAAAAAACCCTGCAGGGAACGTGATGCATGAGTGGGTGTGTTGTTGTGATGAAGCTGCCAATCATTAGCTGCCCATAGCTGAGCCTTCTGCATCATCTAGATGTTTTTCAAGGAGGAATGTTCAAGCTTAACAGAAAATTTGATGCAGATTCTTTGCTCTGCGTTGCTCAGTCATTTTGAATGTGACAGCCACACAGCACACATGCTCTCTCAACAACATCTGTTACCCCCACTGACCAGTACAGTGAAGTTGTCCTTATTCATACAGACACATTCCAGCCCACTGTCCTTGGCTGCCAGGTTATATCAATGTGGCACAAACTGTTCTCATTATATTAACAATGGTTGGACTTTTTTCCGGACAGACCTCATACAGTGTTATGTTAAACCACGAGAAATTGCCAATATTTGTCTTTTTGTATTTCCCCCAAATTATTTTCATATGGTACAACCTAATAGCAAAAACATATTAAGTTTTTAAAAATAATGATTATAATAATTATTCAATCAGAATCACATAATATGGGTGTAATTTACTGACTTAAAGCCAATGAATCAGTACAGCTTGGGTTAGGGCTTCGGAAACTAAATTAAAATCAACAATGAACCTCTCTAGGCGGCTCCAATAAACAGCCAGGTTTGGGAATTCTAGGCTTACAGTGTTGCTCCGGAGACTTACTGTGTAAAGAGAAGAACATTGATAGCAGGAGTCTGGAGAGGACTTTTGCCTTAGAATGAATCATACCCCATGTCTCATCCATATCCGATTTTGGTGTTTTATAAACAGGCCTTTGGACTTTAGAGTTGATACTGGAATGAGACTTTTGGGGTTGCTGAGATGGGATGAGTGTGTTTTCTATGGGAGAAGGACATGGACTTTTGGGGACAAGTGGTAGAGTGCTATGGACTGAATTGTGTTTTCCCCCAAATTCATATATTGAAGCTGCCATTCCCAAAATGATGGCATTTGGAGAAGGGACTTTTGGGAGGTAAGTAGGTTTAGATGAGGTTGTGAGGATGGGTCCTCATGATGGGACTAGTGCTTTTACAAGAAGAGATCAGAGAGCGCGTTCTCTCTCCTGCTGTCCTGTGAGGACACAGTGGGTAGGAGGCCATCTCTAAGCTGGGAAGACAATTCTCCTCAGAAATGGACTGTACTGGCATCATGGTCTTGGACCTCAGTCCTGCAGAACTGTGAGAAATAAAATTCTGTTCCTTAAGCAACCAGTCTATGGTATTTTGTTGCATGGCAGCCCAAATCGACTAAGACACCCCTCCCTCCAGTCCTCTGTGTCATTGCTGTTATTCATGTCACTTATATGTAAGCATATATTTGTCCATAAGCATAAATGATTTAATACTTTGTTGCTCTTATTTTGAACAAAGTTATCTGTTAGATCAGTTAAGATAAAAGAATAAAAGCTTTTACTTTCACCTACTCCTCTTTCAGTGCTATTCCTTCCTTTATGTAGATGGAGTTTCTGAGCTAAATCATTTTCCTTTTCTCGGAAGAACTTCTTTTTAACATTTCTTGCAAGGCAGGTCTACTGGAAGCAAATTCCCTTAATTTTTATTAACCTAAATAAGTATCTCTCCCACTTTTGCAAGATACTTTCTCTGGATATAGAATTCTAGGTTGGTGTTTCTTTTCTCTCAATTCTCGTTTCACTTCACTCGTTTCTTGTTTGCATGCATTCTGAGAAGGTAGATTTAATTCTAATCTTTGTTCCTCAATAGGTAAGGTGTTTTTTCCTCTGGCTTCTTTCAAGACTTTTTTATCTTTGGTTTTCTGCAGTTTGAATATGATAAACCAAGTCATAGGGGTTTTTTGCATTTATCCTGCTTGGTGTTCTGTGGGCTTCCAGGATCTGTGGTTTAGTGTCTGAGAATAATTTGGGGGAAATTCTCAGACATTATTGCTTTAAATATTTTCTCTGTTTCCTTTTTTGCCCTTTAGGTATTGCCATTATGCATAGTTATACCTTCTGCATTTGTCGCATAGTTCTTAGATACTCTGTTCTGGGTTTTTTCATTCTTTCTTATTTTTCCATTTCAGTTTGGAAGTTTCTATTGCAATATCCTCAAGAACAGAGATTCTTTTTTTCTCATCTGTGTCCAGTGTACTAATGGGCCCATTAAAGGCAATCTTCATTTCTGTTACAGCATTTTTAATCTCTAACATTTGAATGTGTTTTAAGATTTTCCTCTGTGTTTATATTACCCATCTGTTCTTGGATTGTTGTCTACTTTGTTCATTAGAGCCCTTAGCATATTAACCATAGCTATTTTAAATTCCTGGTCTGATAATTCCACATCCTGCCATATTTGACTCTGGTTCTCATGCTTGCAGTTTCTTCAGACTGTGTTTTTTGCCTTTTGGTATGCCTTACAATTTTTTCCTGATAGTGGGATGTAGTGTACTAGGTACAGGGAGCTGCAGTACGTAGTCCTTTAGTGATGTGAGGTGTGTTCTCTTGTCCTGTCATTAGCCTCAACCCTTAAGTCAGCTTGTGCCCTTGGACTGTGCACCTCACAGGTGCTTCTCAGGTGCCCCCGCGTGTTGGGAACTGCCCTGCCTGGTTTCAAAAGCTTATCTCCCTGGCAGGAGCACCACTGCTACTCCTTTTACTTCATCCATAACTGGTCCCCAATGTGTGGTTGGTTAGCCAATGATGGGTAAGATTCCCCAAGGGGGGAACGACCTAAAACAGGCATGATCACGTGGGAGGCCCCCAAGGAAGGACTTTGGGGGCTACAGCAAAAGGAGGTGATGGACCCTCGCCCCTTGGCTTGGACAAAACCTGAGCCCTTATTGTCTGCAAGAAATCTAATCTCTTGGCTGCCTTACTTGCCTTGCTCCACCTAAGCCTGAAACAATGACAGAGGGTGGTGCATCCTTGTGCTGGAAAGGGCGGGTTCCCGGGGTGATCAGGCCTAAGAAAGAATATGTGAAATCCTGTGAAATCTGCTTTGTTTAGAATGCTCTCAATTAACTGATAAGGGACCAAGCAAGAAGTAAGTTTGTTCCTCAAGGTTTTACAGTTCTTTAGCTCTCTGAACCTGACTCAAAATAGGCCCTCAGAGTTCTTTGGTATCTATCGTTTGATCCTTACTTCCTGGCCATGATTAATGAGCTTTACCTGAATTCCTGTGCAAACGAACCCAATGAAAGCCCATTGAGGAACAGGCTCCTGGCCCTTCTCCTGTGAGAGATCGGCCACCTTTCCTCCCTAAGCAGATCATATCTTGGTAGACTTATTCTCATCCCTGGCAGACGGGGGGCTCTGTGGACAAAGCTCCCCAACTCCCGTGGTCCCCCAACTTCCCCAAGTTGACAGGACAGCTACAAGTAGCTAGAGTTGGTTGTTTCCCTTCTCCCATGTCATCTGGGCTCTGATAATACCCTAATAGAATAGGTTCTGGTAAAATAGTTTCTCTTGAGAGCAAGTCTTGGTAAGAAGAGAATAGTGTTCTGGTGTATTTCAAAATTATTGCTTTCCCCCTCCCTCTGCAGAAGGACTAGGGGACTCTTGTCTCATAGTCACTTTGAGAACCTAGTAGAACTCTTAGAGCTGAAACTCAGTAAGTGTGAGCCCACCCCCAAAATATCTGTGTTGCCCTGGAGTTTTGAAACTCAGACTTGTCAGCACTAAGCCTCCAGCAATCTGTCAATTACAGTCTGGGTTTTCCAACCCCACCTGCTCTCTCCGGACTCTGGTTCCAGCAGAGGTTTCTTCTCTGATTTCCCCATAAGTTTCTGGTCATGGGTTTCTGCTCAGGTAAGTTGTTACTCTCTATATACAGCCTGTCTGTCCCTCCAATTTTGAGGGCATTAGGTTGCTCTGTGACCCCTGTTCTCTGATGGATCTAAGAAGAGTTGTTGATTTTCCAGTCTACTCAGCTGTTTTCTTGTTTGGAAGAGTGTGGGCTTCCAAGCTCCTTACATACCAAACCAGAAGCCCCCTTTATTCATCTTTGCTTCCCAAAGAACTTAACTCTGTTTGTTTTATCTTTTTTATAACTGGTTCTAAATTTTTCCTCCTGGGTGCTTTTACTGAGGTTGGTATAACTTGTTCACTTGCTGGATATCTATATCTGAACTCATACTGTTTCCTCCTCTTTCTCTAAACTGAATCCTGTTTTAAATGAAGCCCCTTCCCTGTGCTGAATTTGGGCTGCTAGCAGAGTATGTACCAGTAAAGTGCCATTCTGATATTGGTCACGTGCATTGTTTTTCTTTGGGAGATCATTTTATACTGCCTTGGGTGTGAAGAATTTAGTTAATGTCAGTTTCCTACTTAAGTCATTAGGACTTATTACACTGTAATTGTTACACTATTTTGTAAGCTCCTTGAGGTCAAGAACCTTCCATTATATATTGTTCTTTTCATAGTGTTTGCCACAAAGGTACTTGTTAAAAGTGGGATGGCGGACATCGTTTATAAAGTTAGGGTATAGAAGTCCCTAATTTGATAACCTGGGTATATATTATTTCTTAAAGTGTATCTTATTTCAAAGTTTATATTTTAGAATATGAGGCAGTAAATATTTTTGACATGTTAATGCAATACCCATCCCAGGTCTTATATGCATGTTTTGTACATGTTGTGGGTGGATACAGAGTGATGCGTGCTGCTTATGGAGTTGTGGTGTCCTAAGGACTTGTGATTATTATTATTTGATATATTTTTCTCTCCTAAAACCATTATTTAATCGTATTTGCAAATGTGCATAGGTAGAGGTACTAGAATTTTGAGATTATAATGATATACCTTAGATGATAATATTCTAGAATTTAAGTCAGATTTTATTAGAGATCAGATTCCTGTATTACTAATATAGCTTATTAATTTGTTGCATTTATATTTTTGCAGACTGTTCTCTCTGTATAAGAAAATTTTTGTCCTATAAAACACAGTGTCCAACTTGTCGTGTGGTGAGTTTTTCTTTCCTTTTTTTTTGTTTTAAAAAACTTACTGGTTGGTGCAAATATTTCTGCTTCATATGTTTATAAATGCCCAAGAAAACATATGTAACTGTTGGCTTAAGCCACATAAATAGACATTTTCAGAAGGAGCTCTAAAACACATATGTGGGGAACTGGGCTTTGTTCAAGTTTTTATGGGGATTTCTGATAACCTAAATGTATTTTAGGAGGTAAAAACTAACTTCAAGTTCAGAATGTAGCACTCAAATCTTAAGACCTATGTTTTTATGGCTGTTCAGTTTTTATAATTTCTTACATTGGGTAGAAAATCTGGTGGGAGTATTATTTATTTGCAGACGACTGCACATTAGTATGTGCAGAAAATGGATTCATGGACGTTGGGCTGCACCCAACCTGACTGGTCCCTTGCTTCTTTCCCAAAACAGGCCTTCAGGGACAGCACTGGGCAGTTTGTTGGTACTGGTTTCTGAAGCTGTTCAAGTAGTGGAAATAGATGAAAGGATAGCTTAAGAGGGAAAGTAAACATAGTAAAGAAAGAAGTAAAAGAGACAGTAAGGTCTAACTGAAAGGACACCTGGACCAGATTAAGGGTTTGGTTCTTCTAGTGTGATGCCACTGGTAGGTACAAAGTGTCAGAATTCCTCTGAGCTATCATGTAAAAGCCCTATGTAAGAAATGATAGTTTGTTTCTCAAGTCTAAGCTCTTGCAACTTAAGGCACACTGTCTTTGTCAAGATGACATCATCATGGAGATAAACTGTATACCATTTATCCTAAATAACTACAGGTTTTACCATTTTCCTGTTGCATTTCTGAAAGCTAATCTTGTTTTTAAGCTCCCTTTGGATTTGTGGTGTCTCTCCCAATATTATCACTTAGAAGAGTGTCTCTTTTGTTCTTCAAGAGAAATTTTTGGTAATGCTGAATTACCAAATTCTTGGCATTCTTGCTCATATTAGGTTTTATCCTAGTACAGAGTGTATATATATGGTTTGACCATATACTCTGGGGCACTTTTATCAGATTTCCAGTTGGCTGATTCTGATTAATTGTTTTTAAATACCATATTAGTATGAGATAAAATGAACTTTATTTTGAGGCTTTCCTGGAAGACTAAATGGGATGGGAAGTCTCAGGAGGATGGGTTACACATTTTCAAAAACAAGATTATGACAAGTAAATTATTGTTTCTGACCTTTTCCCATCTGGTGTTTTTCGTTTCTAGACAGTCACAGAGCCAGACCTGAAAAATAACCGCGTGTTAGATGAACTGGTAAAAAGCTTGAATTTTGCACGGTATGATTTGGAGACTAACTTTAACTACTTTTGCCATTTATATGTGTCCCTCTTTATTCTACACTTTTGGGGATTAGAGAATGCAGGTTTGGATATTTGGGGTAAAGAAGGGAAGCAGCAACAGTTATTAATCATACATGGACAATTATAATGGCAGTGGGATTTTCTCCCTTTACTCAGCAGAAATCCACCTGTTTGAAACACAACAGTTAAAATGCATATTTGAGCACTTACTTTTGGGTACTACAAGCATACTCTAGCTCCATTTTTTATTTTGCCTGTCGTAGCCCTAGAGTCAACCATTTTCCCAATAGTTGGGAAAATACCATTCTCCTTTTATTGGAGAATGGTATTTGGAAATTGGGATCTGTAGTGGGCTGTGCTCATTGTTACCGGGGTATCATTGCTTCCAGAGCTGGGGAACACATGCATGTATTCTTATGTGCATACTAATCCATGTATACAAATACATCTGTAATTGTTTCTGTGTCCATTACATATTAATCCATTCATTCTTAATCTGATTTACTTAGCATGTATAAAATGACATGTCATGTGAAATATTAGTAGACACTTTATTAACTCAGAAGTGTAGCTTTACTTACTAACTGTCAAATACATGATGGTGAAGGTGAGTTTGATCACCCAGAGGGATATAAAAAGGCATGTTTTACCAAACGGTATCTTGAATTATTTTTAGATTTAATCACGCAAGTCGAGCAGGAATTTTCAGTAGGAATCCACTGTGTTTAGTTAATGGTTAGGTGCCTACATACTTAAGTGTAGGACTTCCAGGCTTCTTGGAGTCTTCTTGGAAGTACATTACATTGCTTCTAAAAATGTAAAGAGATTTCTTCCAAGAGAATTGCACATTTATCAATCCTAAAAAATGATCAAATTTGAGTATGTTGAACTTACCTAACATGACATTCTGGAAATTGGCTAGTTAGTTATTTTCCTAAGCAAAGTCATACAAATGTGGTATGTTTTCTTAGATTAAGAACGTCTGAGATTCTCTGATTCTCATAATTAGAGTTACTGCTTTTATTACAGTTTTTTACCAGTGAGTCTTTCAGTCAGATTTTGAAGTCTGTGAGAAAAGCTGGAGTCATGTCTTTGGAAAGGAACTTTTGAGACAGTATTGGAAGGCTTGTATTTTTTCTTCAGATGGTACTGAAAACGTAACAACATCCCTGCTAGGAAGAAGGGAGTGTTACAAAGAATAGCATCTGTTCGTGGAAGAGAAGTTATCAATATCTTTGTGTTCACAGAACTTTCGGTAATTTAAAAGGAGGCCTTGGAACAACTGAACTCCCCCCTCCCTCCCTCCTTCCCAAAAGGAACAGGCTATCTGATTGTTTGTCACAGTGGGTGTGGTGGAGCAGTAAGCATTCTCTCTAGATTCGGGTGTATTTATCCTTCTGTTTGCCTTCTCTGCATTGTCTTACGGTGAGCATTCCTTGGATGTTTGTCATATCTGAAGCACTGTGGTATCTTATTTGCAAAATTACTGATGAAATTCAAGCTAGTCAGCTTTATTAGTTGTTTAAAATCCGGTTTAAGATTGATGAGGGAAGAGGTTTAATTTTATGACAAAATGTGAGATGTTTATATGGTTTGTTGATTTTGTTTCTTCCTGTCTTTCCATTACCGTTTTATGACATGATTTTTTAAAATTTAATATTCTAAGTGGAATAACAAAATGGTATTGGAAATAATTCTAGAGGTTTTCAGACACGGGCTGACATGCATGACATTTTCTTCCAACTTTTGTCTTATTTTCAAAGAACAAGTGTTTTGTTTTTCCTCAAGTCAACTTTATTTAAAGTAATGTTCTTAAGAAACTGTTGTGTTCAACAAAATTTAATTAAAATATGTTTGTCTTAGTGGAATGTCATTCTTGGGCTAAGAAAATACTGTTTCTGTAGTTTTGCATAGCAGCCAGTCTACATGTATATCATTGTTTTTATGAATAGAGCATACTTCAGTACTTCGGTTTATTCACCATAGAGGTATGACTTTTTCTCCATGTATTTACTCCACATGTAAGAATTTAAATATCTTAGATGATAATTGTAATAGATAATTCCCTTAGCGTCTCACAAGAGTATGCAGAATATAATTTCACCTTATGCTTTAGTTTAAAGCCTACTGGCTTCAGACTCAGGTAGCACTCAGTTTCCGTCTTGGCCCTGTTATTTCTGATGTCAGTGGCCGCTGTTCCCCATCTGAAAAATGGGAACAATGCTGTTGATACGTTGAGAGATTGTTATAAGGATTAAAAAGAGTCACTTCAGTGACTAAGGATGTGATACGAAGAGTCACTGAATTGCAGTGGTTCCTTTGTTGTAAATCAAGTGACTATGTGTGTTAGTCTAATTCTGGACACATTATGTTCCATATTCTCTTTGTCTCTCTCGACGCTAATACTGCAGTGTTTTTAATACCGTAGCTGTATAGTATGTCCTTAAAGTCTGTAGTGCAAGTTTTCTACTTTGATTTCCTTAAAGACTGCTGGCATTCTAGGGCTTTGATTTCCATGTAAATGTTAGAATGAATATCATTTCACTTGAAAAAAGGTTGCTTGTATTTCAATTGGGATTGCATCGACTCTCTAAAATCAGTGTGGGGAAAATGAGCATCTTAACATTGTCGAGTGTTCTAATTCATGTACATGGATATCTCCTTATTTATTTAGGCCTTTCAGAGATTTCCCTTAGCATTGTTTTGTAGTTCAAGATATAAGTTATATATATATTTTTTGTTAAATTTATTTTCAGGTGGTTAATATTTTTTATGGTATTTCAAGTGGTATTTATTAAAAAAATTCATTTTCTGTTAGCTAGTATATAGCTAGAACATTAATTTTTGTTTATGGACATATTCAGTGACCTTGCAAAAATTCACTTATTTTAGTTGCTTGTAGATTTTTAAAAAATTTTTTCTATGAACATAATAATGTCATCTGCAAATTAAAAGCTTTTTTCCCCCTTACCGTTGTATCTTTTATATCACTTGTTTTGCCTTACCACAAAAGCTAGGACCCCCAGTACAATCTGAAGAGGAGTGATGGCAGTGGACACCTGGTCCTGTTTGCAGTCTTAGTGAGAGGTGTTCCGTGTCTCACTAGTGACTGATGTTAGCTGTAGGTTTTTTGAAGGTATCTTTTATTAGAGTAAGAAAATTTTCTTTTATTCCTGGTTTTCTGAGTGTTTTTATTGTGAATGGGTGTTGAATTTTCCCAAATGTATTTTCTGCATTTATTAAGATGATTATACATTTTTTTCTTTTATTTTGCTAATGCAGTAAATTACATTGATTTTTCAACTAGCAAACCAACCTTGCATTCCTGGAATAAATCCCACTTGGTCATGATGGATTATATTTATCTCTAAATTTTATTTGTTAATATTTCATGTAGTATATTTCTGTCTGTAGCTATGAGATATTACAGAACTATAATTTTTACCCCTAAAATGTTCATCAGATTTTGTTATCATAGTTATGCTGGTTTTAATATAAGTTGGGAAACATTCTTTTTCTATTTTGTGGATGTGTTTGTGTAACAATATTATCTTTTTCTTAAATATTTGGTAGAATTCACCAGCAAAACTATCTTTCTTTCTGGAAGGCTTTCGATTGCAGCTCCGTTTCTTCAGTAGATATAGATACTTCTACTCTTCAGGTCTCCTGTTCCTTCCCTCGTCAGTGTTGATGAGTACTGTTTTTCAAGGACTTTGTCCATTTCATCTAAAATTTCTAATTTATTGCTATAAAGTATTTATAACACCCTCTTCTTATTTTTTATTTTCTGTAGGATCTATAAAAATGTCTTTTAATTCTTTGTTTTTGTAATTTTTATTTTCACTTATTTTTTTTTCTTTTTCAATATGTAGGAATTTACTAATTTTTAAAATTTTTTCAGCTTTTTGCTCTGCTCATTTTCTTTTATATGCCTGTTTTCTATTTTGCTAGTATCTATTATTTATTTCCTCCTTGGATATAACTTGCTATTCATCTCCTAACCTTATAAGTTGGAAGCTTTTAGAATGTTGATTCTCAGTTTTTCTTGTAAGTTATGATTTGGTATCTAGGGATTGTTTTAGCAACCCCCAGGCTATCATTCAACTCAGAATATTTTCTGGTCTCCATCGATATTTGACCTGTGAAGTTACTTAGAGGTGTGGTGTGTAATTTCTTAACATTTGGAGATTTTCCAGTTACTTTCATTGAGTTTCATGTGAATTTTCAGTGGTCAGAAAAGATAAGCTGAATTGTTAAAGTCTTGGCAATTGTTGAAACTTGCTTTATGTCCCAGAACATATCTGTACTGGTAATTGTGCCCTGGATCCTTGAAAAGAATGTGTGTTCTGCATTTGCCATGTGTAATGGCTTTCACTTGTGAATCACATCAGTTTACTAATTGGGTTGGCTCAGATCTATATTCTTACTGGTTGTTGCGTATTCTCTTAGAGAAGTGTGTTTAGATTTATATTCACTATTATTTAAACTAATTATTGTGAATTGATTATCTTTCCTTTTAGTTCTGCCAGGTTTTGTTTTATACATTTTTGAAGCTGTGCTGTTAGGTGAATATAATTTATGATTTTAATGGCTTCCAAGTAAATTGACCATTTTGTCACAATGAGATGTCTGTCTTTATCTGTCATAATGCTTTTTGCCTTAAAGTCTATTTTGTCTGCTGTTAATGTTTAAAGTTGCCACATCAGCTTTCTTTTGGATGGTGTTGTCATGGTACATCTTTTTCCATCCTTTTATTTTCAACTTTCCTGGCTATTTATATTAAAGTGTTTTCTTTTAAACAGTATATAGTTGCCTCTTATTTTTAATCCAGTCTTTACATTTAAAATGATTACAGTTTACCGTGTTACTTTGTTTTCTTTTTGTCCATTTGTTCTTTTTAAAAATATATTATGCCACTTTGGCTGGTGTGGCTCAGTGGATTGAGTGCTGGCCTGTGAACCAAAGGGTCACCAGTTCGATTCCCAGTCAGGGCACATGCCTGGGTTGCAGGTCAGGTCCCCAGTAGGGACGTACGAGAGGCAACCACACATTGACGTTTTTCTTCCTCTCTTTCTCCCTCCCTTCCCCTCCCTAAAAATAAATAAATTTTTAAAAAAAATGCAAATATTATTTCTTTTTTCTTGCTCTTTTGTTGATACTAGAGTATTTTTATAATTTTATTGCCTTTGTTAATTTTTGCATAATACCTTTTAGTGTCAACTAAGGGATTATTCAAGAAATTATAAAAATACACCTGTAACATAATACAAAGTACCATAAATTAGTACTTTTATCATGTCCTGAGCAATGCAAAAACTTTATACTATATTTGTGTTATTTAATCCCTATTCTTTGCTATGTTTGGAGAGATCTTTTTTTCCATATATGTTATAAATTCCGCAAGACATTGTTAGTGTTGTTTTCAAGGAAGTCAGTGGTCTTTTAGCCACATGTTTACTTTTTCTGGGACTGTTGATTTTTGCTGACATTTGTGTTATCATCTAGGACTATTTTCCTTTTGCCTGAAGATTTTTTAAAATATTTTTTGCTTGCTGGTGAGGAATTCTCTTAGCTTTTGTTTGCTTTAGAATGTCTTTATACTGATTTCATTTTGGATGAATATTTTCAATGGAAATAAAATTCTTGGAAGTTTTGTTTTTGTTCTGTACTTTAAAGATGCCATTCTATTCTTTTTGCTTAAGTTTTTATTGAGAAGTCAGTGATATTTCTTACTGTTCTTGTAGATCAGGGATTCTTACCTGAGAGTGATTTTGCATTCCTTTTAGCCCTTTCCCCAGGGGACATTCGGTAGTGTCTGCATATATTTTGATTGTCTCCAACTGCTTGGGAGGGATGTATGCTGCTGATGTTTGGTGGGTCCTGTAGTTCCTTCTGAGCTTCTTACAATGCATAGAACAGAACTGACAACAAACAATTATCTTAATGGGTCAATAGTGCCAAGATTGAAAAACTGTGTCCTAGAGGTAATGTCTTAGTTTTTTTCTGGTTATTTATAAGACTTTCTCTTGATTTTTGATTTTCAGTAATTTGATCATTATATGCCTTTATCTTTCCTGTGATAGATTTTCATTGCCTTTTATTGCACTGTCTTTTTATCCATTTGTTTATGTTTCTTTTTTATTTAAACATATTCATCATAGTTTCTTTGACATTTTTATCTTCTAATGCCACTCTTTTGATTACTTCTGGATCTCCTTCCATGAACTATTTTTAAAAAAATATATTTTGTTGATTATGCTATTATAGTTGTCCCATTTTTTCCACCCTCTATTCCCCCCAACCCTGCACCTCCCATCCCACCTACATTTACACTCCTTAGTTCATGTCCGTGTGTCGTACGTGCAAGTTGTTGGGCTTCTCCTATTCCTATACTACTCTTAAGCTCCCCCTGTCCATTTTGTACCTACCATTTATGCTTCATATTCCCTGCTGAAATGTGATTCCCTTCACATTTCCCCCCATTCCTGACCCTTCCTGCTGATAACCCTCCATGTGGTCTCTGTTTCTGTGATTCTGTTCCTGTTCTTATTGTTTGCTTAGTTTGTTTTTGTTTAGGTTCAGTTGTTCATAGTTATGAGTTTGTTGTAATTTTACTGTTCATTCTTTTGGTCTTCTTCTTTTTCTTAGATAAGTCCCTTTAACATTTCATATAATAAGGGTTTGGTTTTGATGAACTCCTTTAACTTGATCTTATCTGGGAAACACTTTGTCTGCCCTTCCATTCCAAATGATAGCTTTATTGGATAGAGTAATCTTGGATATAGGTCCTTGCCTTTCATGACTTTGAATACTTCTTTCCAGCCCCTTCTTGCCTGTAAGGTTTCTTTTGAGAAATCAGCTGATAGTCTTATGCAAACTCCTTTGTAGGTAACTCTCTCCTTTTTTCTTGCTGCTTTTAAGATTCTCTCCTTCCCTTTCATCTTGGATAATTTAATGATGATGTGCCTTGGTGTGTGCTTCCTTGGGTCCAACTTCTTTGGGACTCTGAGCTTCCTGGACTTCCTGGAAGTCTATTTCCTTTGCTAGATTGGGGAAGTTCTCCATTATTTTTTCAGATAAGTTTTCAATTTCTTGCTCTTCCTCTTCTCCTTCTGGCACCCCTATGATTCAGATGTTGGAACATTTAAAATTGTCCTGGAGGTTCCTAAGCCTCTCCTCATTTTTTTTTGAATTCTTGTTTCTTCATTCTGTTATGGTTGAATGTTTTTCTTCCGTCTGCTCCAAATTGTTGATATTAGTCCTGGTTTCCTTCCCTTCACTGTTGGTTCCCTGTATATTTTTCTTCATTTCACTTTGCACAGCTTTCACTTCTTCCTCTATGTTGTGACCATACTCAGCCATTTCTGTGAGCATTCTGATTGCCAGTGTTTTGAACTCTGCATCTGATAGGTTGGGTATCTCTTCATCATTTAGTTCTATTTTTGGATCTTTAATTCATTCATTCATTTGAACCATATTTCTTTGTCTGGGGGTGCTGTTTTGTTGTAAGGGGAAGATCCTGAGGTTATTTGCCGGGGGTGGGGGCAGGGACAGCTCACTTCACTGTGTTGTGACGCTGAATTGTCCCCAGGAGGGAACAATGCTGCTTGCTCGCCTCTCGGCCAGCTTTCAGTCACTTCCCCTGCTACCCATAAGCAAATTGGGTCCTCACGGTGCTGATTCCTGGGTAGATCATCTTGTGTAAATTCTAGGACTCTGTGGGTCTTTCCAATGAACTCTCCTGTGAGGCTGGGAATTTTTCCCTCTACTGCAACTCCCATAGGTTTTTTCAGTCAGAGGTTTTAAGGCTTTATTTTCCCACACTGGAAGCCCTGTGTTGCACAGTCTGTCTCCGCAGTTGTTCCTCCTGGTTTATCCGCACACAAAAGTAGTCCACCAGATGCCACCTCACTGTCCGGTCCTCCAGCCACTGGCTTACTGCGTGTTCTCTCTCCCCAGGCTGCCCTTCTCTACCCCTCTTCCCAGCCTGGATGAATGTTTCTTCTTTAACTCTTTGGTTGTTGGATGTGCGTAAAATTTGATTTTCTGGCAGTTTTGGTTGTTTTTTTGTTTTTAAATTTGTCATTGTCCTTTTGGTTGTGTGAGGAGGCAAAGTGTATGTATCCACACCAGCATCTTGGCTAGAAGTCCCCATTGACTATTTTATTTCTGGATTATTGGTTACTTTATTGCTTTTTAGCATGTCAAATAACTTTCAATTTTATGTTGAACTTTGTAGGTGAAATATAATAGGACTGTAGTTATCTTTTTTGAAAGATGTTGAATTTTGTTTTGATAGGCTGTTAAATTATCAGCTCTTCACTTTTATCTTGTATAGGCCTGGTTTAGTGTTTTGTTAGGTTTGGTCTGTTTCAGTTTTTTTTTTTTCAAACTATATTTTTAGAGTGTGGTCCTTCTTCCTAAGGTGTGGCCTTATTGGGGTTACAATGGAATGTCTGGGGTCTTGCACCAAGGTCTCTTAGCTCTGGATGGGCTCAAACTCCCAACAGTTTTCTTAGCTCTGACCTTTGGAATCTCAGCTTCCTAGCCTCTGCTTCTTGCCAGGTCTCCTGGTTTTGTCTTATGCTTGTGCAGCCCTGCAGATCATCAGGAATGGACAACATTTTCTAAGACTTTTGGGGTTTACTTTTCATGGCTAACCCCTATTCAGCACGCCATCCCTTCAAACCCAGCCATCTTTGCCTAGAATTCTGGTCTCTGTTCCCTCTGCCCACTGGTCTGTGTTTTGACTTTAGTTCAAATACAACCCCCAGAAAATGCTTCTGGGGAAATTCTTGGGGAAGTATTGGATCACCTCATGTTTCTCTTCTGTCAGGGTTTGCAGCCTTGTGCTGACTATAGCCCATGCTTACAAACAGTTGTTTGTGTATATTTTGTCCAGATTTTAAAGTTATTTATGATTGGAGGTTAATTCTGATACAAGTTATTCTCCATTGCCAGAATCTGAAGTCCTTCCATTTTCTCTTATAGACAGATTAACTGTTTTTTAAAGTCAGATATATTGCTTTGTATTTATTTTATTCTAGAAGAAACATTTTGGTTTGATTATCATTATGGAGTAAGTTTTATATTTCATAGAAATCAGTAAGTATTATTTGGGAAATCAGCTTATGTTAGTTAACTTATTATACATTACTTGATATCTTAATTGTCCATTGTGTTTTTTGTGCTTCAAGGAATCATTTATTGCAGTTTGCCTTAGAGTCACCACCCATTTCTCCTGCTTCCTCCTCTTCAAAGAACCTTGCTGCCAAAGTACACACTCCTGTAGCCTTTAGACATTCTTTAAAGCAAGGAAGCAGGTTAATGGAGAATTTCTTGATTAGAGAAGCTGGTGGTTCTACATCGAAGTTGTTGATGAACAAGAGTGAAAGCAAATTCAGTCCTCAAAAAGTGGTGAGCACTTCTGCAAAGGCCAATGAGACATCTTCCTTGGGAAAGAGAGTTTCAGGCACCTCGGATGCTAATGTTCCTGAGTCACCCTCTACGTCAACTTTGAAACAAGTTACTAAAGGTAGGAAATTACTTTCATGTGTGTATTTTCTTAATGGAAACCTCATCCCTCGTGACATAAGAATAAATAAGTGCCATTTTCAGTGGGGAGAAATTCAAGAAAGGGTGAACCATATCTCGACTTGACAGTCTCAACAGTTGATACAGGCAGTGCTTCAAGATGTTTGTTCTGTTTCTCTTGGATTCGGGTTGATTGTTGCATAAATGAAGCAATTTTCATTACTTTACACTTTGAGCGTGGCAGTAACTTTCTGTTTTTCAGCTTTTAATTCTCCCCATCCTTCATATTTTTTCTACTTTAAAGATGCTTTGTATGTTATTATGCCATTACTTGCACACTTCCAAGCTGTTCTGATTGCTGTTTACAGCCTAAAACAACATGACCCCTGCCCTTCCTGTCCAAACTTACTCGGCTCTGCCTCTCAAAAGTCCTCTGCTCTAGCCAAGCTGGTCTCCCCACTCTCCTTGAATACACCCAGGGACTGGCAGCCACTACATGGAGGCCAAATTTGGCTTGTTACACCTATTTTTGTCAGTAAAGGTTCACTGGAGCACAGTTACATCCTTTGTTTGCATGTTGTCATGGCTGCTCTCATGCCTCACGGTGGAGTTGAATAGTTGTGACAGAGGCTGCCTGGCTCCCAAAGCCCAAAACCGTGACTCCCTGGCCCTTTGCAGTGTGTGCCAACCCCATTCCGCCTTTCAGACTCCGTCCGGGTCCTAACCACTCTTTGGTATGTTGGATAGTATTGATAGCTTATGTACTAAAGTGGTAGAGCATGTTTTCTGGACTATTTGTGTATAATCTGCTTAACTTTTTGATGAGTGGGTCAGCCTGTTAACCTGTTGATTCATGTCTGTTCTTGTCAGCGATGTTTAGAGGACCTTTTAGGCAGAAGCTGTGCCTTAGACATCTTTGGTCTAGACACTCACAGCTCACACAATGCAGGGCTGTTAGTGGGTATTGATTTTAGATTGACATTAGTTTATTAGTACTCGATTGTTTAAGTTTCATACAGATATGTACATTTTACTTGGGTTTCCTAGTGTACCTTACTTTTGGTCAGTCTGTCAATTCACAGTTCTTATGGTAGTGTTTTTAGCTTGATAGTTAAATTATTTCTTCCAGCATAGTCATTTTTTCAAGTGAAATCTTACAACGAACCGCAGTGTATGAAAGAGATCAAGCAGGCCCTTGGGGCCCTGCTGCGTTAGAGATGTGCTGCTTCACCTGACCTCTCCCTCTGTCCCCGTCTGTCACCCGTGGTGGCCCCTGGGCCCCAAGATACCTGTATAGATCCCCGCAACTCCAGGGAACAGTTTGAGAATGATTGTGTTTCCTAATTTACAAACAAGAGCTAAATCAACACGTTTGTAACCATTGATAAAGTGGGCAGCAGGGGCCCGAACCAGTAAATGCTTTGCTGCAGCTGTGCCACACCACCCCCTTCAGTTCGCCCCAACCAAGTGTGTCTTAACTCAGGTTGTTGCGAGTGCTTTGGCACTAAACACAGATGGATGGTCCTAAGGTTTGGGAAAACCTAAGATTAGTTTTATAGTTTCATCACATCTTGGGAGAAATGACTTAACCAAAGCATTTTCTGATAAACAAATTTCCAAACTTCTTTGCAGTCTCTTCCTTTTGAATTCTGTGACCTCCCACAATTCAGTCCTTACCCAGTAACCAGTCTGTCCCCCTCCTGTTGCCCGGAGGGGCCATTCTTTCCCTCTTTTGCTTTTCTGAGTTGGTCATGGGATTCTGGTTTTTATCTTAATCTGTGAACAATGCCATGTTATATTATTTTTGCCCATTCTACCAAAAAACAAATTGTCCTTTTTTTTTTTAAAATATAGTGGATTGTCCTGTTTGTGGGGTTCATATTCTGGAAGATCATATTAATAAGCACTTGGACAACTGTTTATCGCGTGAAGAGAAGAAGGAAAGCCTCAGAAGGTAAGAAAGTCAAGCCTAATGGTAGAGCTGCTTTAGCTAGATGCCCCTTGTGCTTTTGTAAACTTGGGGGAAAAGCACAGTATTCATTTTATCCGCGTGACCAGGTGCCAGAGTCCCTCTCCCACTTGCTCTTTCCTTTACTTCCGTCAGTTCCTCTTCCATTCCCTCTCCTTGTTCTTTCTCTACTCCCACTTTGTCAAATATAATCAGCTATTGAATTTAACTGCTAATAGAATTGACTTAACAAGAAATTAGTCACTTAGGATTAAATTTTCTTTAAACTTGTTTTCTTCTCTTAGAACTTTAGAACTATCATAAAGCTCTTTAGCCAAAGACAGTAAGATTAGACTCTGAATATAAAACATATAAAATCTTTCTTTGGTTTTTAGGGTGCTCAGAAGTTTCACAATTTTAAATACAGCTTGTTTAAAATAATTTTTTTTCCAGTAGGCAGTTATATACATATGACTTTAAAAGGCACAAAAGGGCACATATATATATGAAATGGAATGTCCTCTTGCCTCAACCCCCACCACCCAGGTGGCATAACTAATAAGTTGTCAACTCAGTGTTTGCACCCACACTGCTGTTTTGCTTCCCTTATACATCAGAGTTACAGTAATTTATTTATGCAGACCTCTATTGTTATACATATAAATTGTTTGGGAATGAAATTTTAGTCAAAGTTATATTGCAGGTGCTCAGGAATCAGTGGTTAATGAAGATAATAAGGAGCCACAAATTAGAGGAGTCTGGTGATGAAGGGAAGAAGAGAGATGAGACAGTAGTTTGGGAGAGCAGGAAACATCTAGAATAAGGAAGATTTTACTTCTTAAAATAGAAATTGGTTAAGCTTTCAGTCTCTCTCCTTCCACTGTTTCCAGGGAAAGAGCAGATGTTAGATGGAACAAGGTTGAGAGCATAAGAGATGAAGAGCCCAATAGTGAAGTTAATCTTTGATGTGTAGAAAGAACTTTTCTTCTGACACAGAAGGGATCAGAGAGATTTGGACTAGGAGGAGGGGGAGTAAGGAAATTAATGGTGTCTGGGAGGTCGGGGCGAATAGATTGATAGGCTCTTATATTTGCCTGTTTTGAAGGACTTGGAAGAGCATTTCTAAAAAACATGTTAGTAAGGGAGGAACCTTTATTATTTTTTGTGATTAAAGATAAAATGGCATCACTTAATTTTTGAGTACCAGTAAATATGGAGTGAAATCAGGTTTCAAGGGATAAACTCATGCTGTTATAACTTACAAAAGCTAACACATACCCTACAATGATGCTTTATTAATTTGCTTTGGGGGGCATTGACATTTCTTATTGTAGTGTTTTTAGCTTGATAATTAATATTTTCCCTCTAGCAAAACTTTTTTTCAAGTGAAGTCTTACTGTGAACTATAACATTTAAAAATAGATAAAATTGGTTCTGGCTGGTGTGGCTCAGTGGATTGAGTGCCAGCCTGCGGACTGAAAGGTTGCCAGTTCGATTCTCCATCAGGGCACATGCCTGGGTTGAGGGCCAGGTCCCCAGTATGCAAGAGGGAACTTACTGATGTTTCTCTTGCACACTGATGTTTCTCTTTCTCTGTTTCTCCCTCATTTTTCTTCTCTCTAGAAATAAATAAATAAGATCTTTAAAATAGGTAAAATTGGCTGTGCTGCTTGAGAGTAGAGACAGAAGGCCCGGGGACTGTGCTGCTTCACCCAACCTCCTTTTTCGTCCCCGGCTATTGTCCATGGTGGCCTCTAGGCCCCCCTGTATGGCCACAAGTGCCTGTGCAGTTGTGTGTGCCCACCACTCCCTTCTGGTGGGTAAACGTGTTGCTGAGAATCGAATTAGATTTCTGTAGGTTACTTTATTAGTTGAGATTTGGAGTAAATGAAACTGGATCATCCCAAGGATGATTTCCCATAAGCCATCAGAATTGGATGGTTTATTTTTCTTTAGAAATGTTTCCTTCTAAAGAAAGAGTTGGGGATGTAGAAGCTGAGCATTTGCTCCTTGAAGAGTAAGGAATCAATACAGATATCTTAGGACTGCTGTTTTTCTAGATGCATCCATCATATTTCCTCTAACACATTTAAGTCTTGTGATGAATTCAAAGACATATGCATCCATACATTGTTAAGTTCCAGTTCCAATAGTAGTTCCAGACCCTGCTCTGTGGGCTGCTGCAGTCCTGCCAGTTGCTGTGCTGTTCAACTTAGAAGCACCGCAGACTGAATCTGTCTCTTAGGAAAAGACTGACTACACAAGTTAGTGTATTGAAGCCTCTGAGAAGTCCTCCATTAAAGACAATTGTTAGATTTTCTTTAATCCAGTAATTCCTAAATTTATCTCTTATTCCCAAACATCTTTGTTCTGATAATTTATATCTTGTGAAACTGGTGTTTGTTAAGCTGCATTTAGGGAAACATTGAGCCTCATTTCTCTTTAAAGAAGTTACAACTTGGTCTGAGGTCTGGTTACATAAAAGAGTCTCTGACATTGAAACATTGTTTCCATAATACCCTGACAGGCCATTTTCTTGATATGATGACAACCCTTAACCCATTCTGTGTAGATTCATATCAGAGTTGATTCAAAGAATGCTCTTTCTTTTGATGTCTTCAGGTTCTGAGGACCCCTTAAATGTGTTCATTTGGTTTCACTAAATCATGGAAGAAAGATCAGTGTCATTTTCATGTTTTGGGAAATGTTTGTGAGGCTTCATATTTTAGCATTCTTGGCAGAAATTGTTGATTTCTGCTGGTGCTCTTTGTTGTGTGTGCCAGTGAAGAGTGCAGCTTTCCATTGGAGTTTCACAGTCATGACTTATCTGTCCTTGATAAAATAAATGCTTTTAGCTATACAGACTTAATGCATTGTCCCTCACAATGTGCTTGTATAAACTACTACAAAATGTTTCAGCTCTATCTACCTACCAGGATTTAGCCATAATTTTATCAGTCTTGTTGAGTTCCATGGGCTGTCATTGTAAGAAGAGAGATTTTCAGAAAAATGTTATCCGTTGAGGGTTTGCAGGTCTTTCTTCAATTAAATAGTTATTTCTGGCTTATAGACTTTATTGATAGATCACAAAAGAAATAATTTAGCCAGGGAATGACACTGTTGGTTAGTAGAGAAGTGTCTGTTTTTTTCAATCTATATTTAACTGTCATTTTTGTCATTATGTTCTGAACTATTTGTATTAGATTTACCCTGTGGAACCTTATTAATATAGATTTTAGGTCCCCACTTCAGGATAGAGTAAGTTGGGGGTTGATTTGGAGAAGTGACCAAGAATCTGCATTTTAAATAAGCTCTCTAAGTGGTTCCAAGACATACTGGAGTTTGGATATCATGGCCTTCTGTGAACTAGTTATATGGAAGTCCTTTGTGAAATCTTGTTTTTTGATAAAATTATTGCTTTCAGCTTCCTATTAATTTTTACCTGAAATTTTGATAGTCCCGTTTTAAAATTATTACAATTGTAAGAACACCCTTGAATATGTATTTACTAATCACCTAATTGTCAACCTAATCACCTATGTCAACCTAATTGACATAGTGTTGAGTCAGGTGATATACTCAGAGAACAAGTTTATAATCAGATTAAAACTCACTAACTAGTTTCTATTTATAAAATTGCCTTAAGTCATTGACACCCTTGGGTAGCTTGACTTCTATTCCATTTTAACAAATAATGTTTATTAACTGGTATTTTGGAGGGAGTGAAAGAAACTCATTTAATAGGGCTTTGTTACATTTAAAATTAAAACTTAGTGCTAATCAGTATATCAATTATGAAAATAGAATGAAGAGCCAGATGGTGATTTTGCTAATACCCTTCTTGTAATGCCTTATATACATATATTTGTTAATATAATTACTTTAAGTTGAAGAGAACAAAACCCTGTTGTGTTTTTTGCTGTAGTTTTCAATTGTGTTCTTTGAAGATGATAGCTCAAGAATATCATCTACCCACCAGTTTTCTGAATTCCTTTTTCATTGGTGGTAATGAGTTGGGCAAAGCTAATTGTCCCAATAGGTCTTCTTTTATTTTAGCTAGTGCTTTTGCAAAATGATTGTCTTGGATTTGAGGGGCAGTTTTGCCTGTGGATTAAAACTTTTTCTAAAGAAGATATGTATGATAGTAATGTTAAGTCCATAGCTTAATACACAATAGGATTTGTACTCTATCTGATATAATTGTTTTTTGCAGAGATTTTGCATAGGAGCTATAGGCAAATTTTAGGAAAAGCATGCTTTAAAGAGATAGAGAATTGAATAAGTCTACATAAATGTGATTCTTAATGAAGTTCTCAGAGCATTTAGTTCATTTAGTTCACAGGCCTTCTATGTGAGTCCCCAGTCTGTAGCTTCAGGCCTTCCCTCTTTCTGAGACCTAAGTTTCTCTATCTGAATGTCTCACTGGCACCTCTGATGCATCATGTCAAACACAGTCAACTTGATTTGCGAATTTCATCCTTCTCTTTCCCATTTTTATCGTAATGGGTCCATGCTCCCAGTTACCCTGGTATTCAGTCAGAAGGTAAATTACTATTTTAAATGAAAAGCATTTGATAATTCACAATAACCCTCAGTTATCTCTTTTTCTCCCCTTTTCAGTTCTGTTGAGAAAAGGAAGCCGCTGCCCAAAACTGTATATAACTTGCTATCAGATCGCGATTTAAAGAAAAAGCTAAAAGAACATGGATTATCTATTCAAGGAAATAAACAACAGCTCATTAAAAGGCATCAGGAGTTTGTACACATGTACAATGCTCAGTGTGATGCTTTGCATCCTAAATCAGGTAAAGCAATAAAACAGTGAGTAATGCTCATCCTGCTTATAGCAGTTTTGTATAGCTCTGGGATTATAAATCATAGAAACAGATTTTGAATAGATATACTTTTGAAAATAGATAAGACATGCAAATATATTTCTTCAGAAGGTATTAGATTATATACTGTGATACACCAGCCTTTCTCTCAGCCAGTCTCAGTCCCCATTGCCTTCTCAGAAGCAGTAAGTGCTGCTGATTTCTATGTGTCTTTCCAGAGATAGTGTGGGATAAAGAGTTGATTTAGAAAGTCTGGATTATGGTGCCAGCTTTGCAGCATTGTGACTGGGTGACTATGGGCAAGTTCCTTAAATTCTTTAAATGAATGTATCGAAAAACTGTGGTATATTTACACAATGGAATACTAAGCAGCAGAAAAAAAGAAGGAGCTCTTTCCCTTTGTGACAGCATAGATGGAACTGGAGAGTATTATGCTAAGTGAAATAAGCCAATAGTGAAAGACAAATACTATATGATCTCACCTATAAGTGGAACCTAATGAAGAAAACAAATAAACACATAAAATAAGAACCATCAACGTGGGAATAAAGAACAAACTGACAGTGACCAGAGGGGAGTGGGGAGTGGGGAGGAGGAAGAGGTATAATGAGGGGAAGAAGGGGAAAGGGCAAGTCAGGGAACACGTATAAAGGACCCGTGGGCATGGACAACAGGGTGGGAATTGACTGTGGGAGTGGGGGAGTGGGGAGTTGGGGCAGAGGAGAGCAGTGGGGAAAAGAGTGGGACAACTGTAATTAAACAACAATTAAAAAAAAATAAAAACAGTATTCCAGTCAAATGGAGGCATAGGTAGATATGTTTTGCCTCCTTGCACAACCAAAAGAAGGAAATTAACCAATTTAAAAACAAAAAACAACCAGAACTGCCAGAAAATCAAACTGTATGGAAGTTTGACAACCAAGGAGTTAAAAATTCATCCAGACTCCACCACAGCACAGTAAAGAGAGTTGCTCCACCTTGGTGAATCCCTGTGGCTCTGCCCCTTGCAATGCAACAGGTGCAACAAGACAAAGAAATATGGCCCAAATGGAAGAACAGATCAAAACTCCAGTAAAAGAACTAAGTGATGATGAGGTAGCCCACCTATCAGATCCAGAGTTCAAAACAATGGCAATCTGCATGCTCACAGAAATGATTGAATATGGTCACAAAATAGAGGAAGAAGTGAAAGCTGTGCAAAGTGAAATGAAGAAAAATATACAGGGAACCAACAGTGAAGGGAAGGAAATGGGCTCAAATCAACGATTTGGAGCAGAAGGAAGAAATAAACATTCAACCAGAATGAAGAAACAAGAATTCAAAAAAAAATGAGGAGAGGCTTAGGAACCTCCAGGACAACTTTAAATATTCCAACATCTGAATCAGGGGTGCCAGAAGGAGAAGAGGAAGAGCAAGAAATTGAAAACTAATTTGAAAACATAGTGAAAGAGAACTTCCCCAATATGGCAAAGGAAATAGACTTCCAGGAAGTCCAGGAAGCTCAGAGTCCCAAAGAAGTTGGACCCAAGGAAGCACACACCAAGATACATCATCATTAAATTATCCAAGATTAAAGGGAAAGAGAATCTTAAAAGCAGCAAGAGAAAAGGAGACAGTTACCTATAAAGGAGTACCCAACACTATCAGCTGATTTCTCAAAAGAAACCTTACAGGCAAGAAGGGGCTGGAAAGAAGTACTCCAAGTCATGAAAGGCAAGGGCCTACATCCAAGATTACTCTATCCAGCAAAGCTTTCATTTAGAATGGAAGGGCAGATAAAGTGCTTCTCAGGTAAGGCAAAACTAAAGGAGTTCATCATCACCAAGCCATTCTATGAGATGTTAAAGGGACTTGTCTAAGAAAAAGAAGATCAAAACTATGAACAGTAAAATGACAACAAACTTACAACTATCAACAACTTATCATAAAAAAACAAATTAGCAAACAACTAGAACAGGAACAGAATCACAGAAATGGAAATCACGTGGAGGGTTATCAGTGGGGATAGGGAAAGGGAGAGAATGAGGGAAAAGGCACAGGGAATAAGGAGCATAAATGGTAGGTACAAAATAGACAGGGTGTGGTTAAGAATAGTATAGGAAATGAAGAAGCCAAAGAATTTATATGTAGGACCCATGTACATGAACTAGGTGGGGAGAGGAGGGAATGCTGGAAGGAATGGGCATACCAGGCCGAGGGGGATAAAAGGGAAAAAAACAAATGGGACAACTGTAATAGCATAATCAACAAAATATACTTAAAAAAATTATGTGCACAAAGATGCTCATTACTATAGTATCAAAATAGTGAAATACTTGGAATAATAGTGTTAAGTGAATATTCATAAATGGTTAGAATGTTATGTAGCACTTAAAATTACAAATGTACTATAACTAAAATGTTTACAATACAATTTAAAGCAAAAAAAATTATTTATCTCAGTTTTCTCATCAATAGAATAAAGATTATCACACTACCTACTTCATGGTGTTTTTGAGAGAAATGCATGAAAATAAAACTCATATAAACTGCCTAGCACAGTACCTTAGCAAGTAGTTAGTATTCAGTAAATGTTACCATTATCGTTAGTACACATAAACATGTCCTCAGTCACTGTGGCTTTATAAAGTTGTTTGTGTTGTATAGTCATACACCACATAACATTTCAGTTAACGATGGATCACAGATAGGACGGCAGTCCCTTGAGATTGTAATGGAGGTGAACAATTCCTATCTCTTAGTGGTGTGTCGTCGTGGTCATAGCCTCGTAGCGTGATGCATTGCACAGATACTTACTGTTACGTCACAGTTACCCAGTAACGTGTTATGCAGGCTTGTGGCCTTCGGAGCAGTAGGCTGTGCCATGTAGCCGAGGTGTGCGGTAGGCTGCATCCCGTTGGTTTGTGTAAGTGCACTCTCTGTGGTGTTTGCATGACAGTCGCCTAAGGACACATCACTCACGGAGTATCCCTGTTGTTTAGCGGTGTGGGACTGCATACACTCTTCAGTGATTTCTCCTTTTCGTTTAACCACACACATATTTTGGAGTTTCTTCAGTTATGAGCATACATAGAATTGCCAATATTTTAAAAAATCAGAGTACAGCATGTAAACACAAAAGTACACAAGGTGTAAGTATATTGTTTGGTGAATTAATCACTAAGTTTCACCAAGGGCACATCTCTCTAACCACTGCCCACACCACCACCAGGATCCCAGAAGCGCCTGCCCACTCCCGGGCACTGCCGCCTTCATTCCCACGGACGACCACTGTCTTGACCTCTAACACTGTACATTCATTCTGCCTGTTTTGGCCTATATTTGATTATTATAAGTGGAATAATAAATAGCTTATATATACTGAGTGTATCTTTATTTGTACCGTGCTATGTTTATAAGATTCATGTTTTTGTGTACATTTGTGATTTCAAAAGATTTTTTTGTTGCTCTAGAGTATTCGAATATATATCTCAGTACCCTTTCACTGGTTGATGGACATTTGGATTTTTCCACTCTTTGGCTCATAAAAATTATGCTGCAGTGAATAATCTTTTACATGTGTCTGTGTACACAGGCACACATTTTTTTGAATATATACACCCAGGATTGGAATAGTTATGTTTTTGCAGATCTTCAGCATGTGTGGATACAGCCAAAAACTTAGTACCAATGTACATTCTTATGAGGAAGGTGTGAAAGTTCTAGTTTTTCCACATCCTTAACAACTTTAGTATAGTCAGTTTTCTCTTTTGGCTATTCTAGTGGATCCATGGTAGTACTTCATTATGGTTTTAATTTGAATTTTCCTAATGACTGTAATGTTTACCACATTTCTATGTGCTATTGGCCATCTGGATATCCTCTTGGATGAAATGCCCATTTAGGTTTTATGCCCACATTTTCTATGTTGTAGATCTAATTTTTTCTTATTTATTGTGGGAGTACATGAAATTTTCTGGATAGAAATCTTGCTGGATTTTTGTGTTTAGTTCCTTCTTCCATTTCACCTTTTCATCCCCAAGGGCTTCATTTGAGAAGAAGTTCTTAATTTTAACGTGACCCTGTCAGGTGCAGTTTTCCTTTTTCATGTCCTTCCCTCCACGAGGTCATGCAGATCTAAGCTTCCAAAAGCTTTATCATTACTCTTTTTACATTTCGATCTATGGCTTATCTGGGTTTGACTTTACCATATGTTATGAGGTAGGAAGCAAGATTCTTCTGTCCTTTTTTATGTAGATAGCCAATTGATACAGCACCATTTATTAAAAAACTATCCTTTCCCCACTGAATTGTCAGTATGACTTGGCTGAGAATCAGCTAATTATATATCCGTGGGTCTGGGCATCGTTTCCTCAGTCACTTACCAGCAATGTGCTGTCTTAATTACTTTATAAGTAATTTATAATAAATCTCGCTTGTTGGTACTGTATTTCTTCCAGCTTTGTTGTTAATTGAAATTGCTTTAGTTTTTCTAGACCCTTTGCATTTCCATATGAATTTTAGAATAAGGTTGTAAATTTCCATCAAGAAACAAAAACCTGTTTGGGTTGGCATTACATTGACTCTATGGATCAGTTTGGGGAAGTTGATATCTACACAGTATTTGAATCTTCCAACTTGTGAATTTAGTTTATCCCTTTATTTATTTGTCTTCCATTTCTGTCAGAAATGTGTTATAATCTTCAGTATGAAGTTTTATCTTTTAAAAGACTTATTCATAGGTATTTGATTGTTTTTTTCACATTTTTTATTTTTGTTCAAGTACAGTTGTCTCCATTTTCCCCCCACCACTCCCCTCCACCCCAGCCATCCCGACCTCCCACCCTCGATTCTGCCCCCCTTTGATTTTGTCCATGTGTCCTTTATACTTGTTCCTGAAAACCCTTCCCCCTTTCCGTATTTGATGTTTTTGATGCAATTTAAATTGTATCCTATTTTAAAATGTCAATATGTATTTACTTGTTGCTGGT